TAACCGAGGTGACGTGGCATCGTTAACGCGGGATTACTGTAACCTAATTATCCGGGCGTCACATGTAGACCCGGCGCGTCCGTTTCCCCCCTCCAGGTGCCGGCGGCGGCGCCGTCCGTGAGGGGGGCACACCCCGGACATGCGTGCCGGGCGTTTGCAACCGCCACAACACTTCCAGACTTGTGAGAGGCCGCCTACGCAAGATTTGGCGGCATGCTAGCCCCCGGAGGCCGCCGGCCACAACCGTAGACGCGCGAAGGGCAATCCGCGTAGAGGGAATTTTTCGGATACTTCTCCATCACCAAAAATTATGAAAAAATACCATCGTTCCTATAGCACATGTGCCCACGTCGTGCAAAAAAACTCATGATTTTATCGCGCTCCGAGTATTTAGTAATATTGACGTCGCATCGTTACCGCAGAACGTCTACTACCGTGTCATCGCCGTCCGTGAGGGGGGCCACGCCCCGAAGACGCGTCCCGCCTCATCGGACATGCCACCACACCACCCCGCATGTATGAGGGCCCGGTGCGATGCTCCGGTGGCATTGCTACCCCCCAGTGCCCCCGTCCTGCCTAACCCTGTAGCGTTTTACCACGGGATCTAGCCCTTTGACTTTGCACGGACGGGCTTTGACCAGTGGACCTCCTCACCCGGTTGTGTTAGGTCAGCCCATAGGAACACTTTGGAGCAACATCCGGGACAGACCCACAGCAAGATCCCCTCCTTGTAGACCCGACGCGTCCGTTTCCCCCCTCCAGGTGCCGGCGGCGGCGCCGTCCATGAGGGGGGCACACCCCGGACATGCGGGCCGGGCGTTTGCAACCGCCACAACACTTCCAGACTTGTGAGAGGCCGCCTACGCAAGATTTGGCGGCATGCTAGCCCCCGGAGGCCGCCGGCCACAGCCGTAGATGTGCGAAGGGCAATCCGCGTACAGGGAATTTTTCGGATGCTTCTCCATCACCAAAAATTATGAAAAAATACCATCGTTCCTATAGCACATGTGCCCACGTCGTGCAAAAAACTCATGATTTTATCGCGCTCCAAGTATTTAGTAATATTGACGCTGCATCGTTACCGCAGAACGTCTACTACCGTGTCATCGCCGTCCGTGAGGGGGGGCCACGCCCCGGAGACGCGTCCCGCCTCATCGGACATGCCACCACACCACCCCGCATGTATGAGGGCCCGGTGCGATGCTCCGGTGGCATTGCTACCCCCCAGTGCCCCCGTCCTGCCTAACCTTGTAGCGTTTTACCACGGGATAAGGCCCTTTGACTTTGCATGGACGGGCATTGACCAGTGGACCTCCCCACCCGGTTGTGTTAGGTCAGCCCATAAGAACACTTTGGAGCAACATCCGGGACAGACCCACAGCAAGATCCCCTCCGTGTAGACCCGATGCGTCTGTTTCCCCCCTCGAGGTGCCGACGGCGGTGCCGTCCGTGAGGGGGGCACACCCGGGACATGCGTGCCGGGCGTTTGCAACCGCCACAACACTTCCAGACTTGTGAGAGGCCGCCGGCCACAGCCGTAGACGCGCGAAGGGCAATCCGCGTAGAGGGAATATTTCGGATACTTCTCCATCACCAAAAATTATGAAAAAATACCATCGTTCCTATAGCACATGTGCCCACGTCATGCAAAAAAACTCATGATTTTATCGCGCTCCGAGTATTTAGTAATATTGACGCCGCATCATTACCGCAAAACGTCTACTACCGTGTCATCGCCGTCCGTGAGGGGGGGGGGCACGCCCCGGAGACGCGTCCCGCCTCTTCGGACAGGCCACCACACCACCCCGCATGTATGAGGGCCCGGTGCGACGCTCCGGTGGCATTGCTACGCCCCCCAGTGCCCCTGTCCCGCCTAACCCTGTAGCGTTTGACCACAGGGTCTAGCCCTTTGACTTTGCACGGACGGGCTTTGACCAGTGGACCTCCCCACCCGGTTGTGTTAGGTCAGCCCATAGGAACACTTTGGAGCAACATCCGGGCCAGACCCACAGCAAGATCCCCTCCGTGTAGACCCGACGCTTCCATTTTCCCCCCTCCAAGTGCCGGCGGCGGCGCCGTCCGTGAGGGGGGGGGGGGGCACACCCCGGAGCCCCAAGACGGGCGTCTACGCATGCATGAACACTTTCACATATCCATCGGGACCCGTGCGATGTTTCGGTGACATAGCTACACCCCGAATCCCCCCACCAACCAGAATTTCTTCCGTGTCGACCGTTTCCCCCCTCCATGACATGGCGATAGCGACGTTCGTAACGGGGGGCAATCGATATACCATCGGGTATGTTTTTTTAGATAAGGCATAATTATCTTATGCAAAAACAAACACTAAAATAAAGTAAAAATAACAAAACAAAGTAAAAATAAAAAAATAAAGTAAAATACACGTATGTCGACGGCAAGGCCGTCGGCATATCTGTGCACACACGGAGGTTGTCCCACGGATCAATGACGTGGCGTGGCACACGGATCGATGACGTGGCAGAGGGGCCTATGTCGACGGCTGTGCCGTAGGTATACCTCTGCCACAGATATGCCGATGGCCGCCGTTACCGCCCGTCGGCGTAGGGTCAACGCCGTCAAATGGTCAGCGCTGACCGGGCAGGGGGGCCCGGGCTATGCCGACGGGCCCCGTAGGCGTATCTCGGGCGGTCCCGACGGCCTCGTCTATGCCGACGGCCCCGTCGGCATAGATGGATGTATGCCGACGGCTATTCTACGCCTATGGCCTATCCTTGGCCGTCGGCATAGGTCCATAGATGCCGACGGGGGCTGTCGGCATAGATTTGGCCGTCGGCAACCCCAGTTTTTCTGGTAGTGCCAGCCCGGTCCTCCAGGCCCATGCGGATCCAACCTACCCTGAATTGCTCCTACTAAATTGAAAAAGAAGCTAAACTGATGCTGAATAGTAAACTAGAGCTTCACAACTCAATCAGAAAGAACAAACCGAGACTTGGTGCAGCAGTTTGTGGTGAAGAAGAATTTATAGAGGTAGAGTGAGAACTGGTAGTTGTGCATGTACCTTCTGTTCAATGGCTCACCCACTGGTCTATCTTCCATTTCAACTACTGTTTTCTGCTAACTACTGCATGCAGCATTACGGGGACAATTTGAGCACTAGAGATTGAGTTCTAAACCACTTTGTTTCATAGCAAAAATAGTATGTGGACATCTGAATCTAGCAGACCCATCTAGCTGATTTTTCTGAAGCAACTCCGAAATCCAACAACAAACAAATTGCAGGACCAACGTACAGTTTTGTCCATTTATCTTATGTTTGTTACAAACAGAAGCTTCTAAAAAGTTGAGACCGAAGATATATAACAGAGTTGTAAATGTAAATCATACAAACAACTACTGGTTGAACAGCTTCGTTCCCAATCAGGCGCACAACAAGTCAGCCAGGCAACTTTCACATGCAACTTAGAGGTGTTCAAAGATTAGGTTGCAGACAGACCAAGCTTGACATGTAGTGAGAAGCTGAGAACAGAAGCTGGATTTGGGGAGTTTTGTGAAGTTGGAGGAGTTCCGAACAGGCCCATAGTTAAGCTTGATATACTCTGACCAGCAAGAAAATAGCTGAATAATTGAGATAGCTAGCATAGGTTTTCGTCCGTGCAGCAAGCTGACCTTGTCGAAAGCAGGCAGACGCCTCTATGCGTGCCCCACAGCGATCCGTACACGTCCTCCACACCAGCACAGCTCCAGGACGCATCAATTTTTCAGGGGCATTTATGGTTGACTGAAGCAAAAACTTTGGTACTCCCTCCTTCCATCTATATAGGGCCTAATGCGTTTTTCAAGACCGCATTTGACTATTGACAAGATTAATAGTACATGGCATGCATAATGTGAAAATTATATCATTGAAAGCTCATTTCACATACGAATTTGACGATGTACTTTGTGTAAGTTGCATGTCATATATTATTGCTCTAACATTTGGTCAAACTTAGCCTCGAAAAATGTATTAGGCCCTATATAGATGGAAGGAGGGAGTATGCAAAAAAGCACAGCTGAATTTATTAAGAGCAATTGTGCTACAAACATCGTATGAAGCCTTTATCCAAAATGGTTAACGGCTAAATTGAAATAACAAGAGATGATATTTGCAAACTGTGCAACAGAAAAAAATGTAATAAGCTGTTCATAGATTTTCAGGTTGCGGTACCAGTCTTTCCTAGAAGAATGCTACTACAATCATTTCTAATTCTCGCTATAGTGGTGAGCTTACTTTCCACAAGTTCTACCTAACCATCTCCATCATTTCTCTGAATTATTAGCTCCTGGGAAAAGGGGCAGAATATGCCATTGGAACCTAACCTAAATTCTCATTATTTAAGCAAGAAATCAAGAAGATTTGGAATCATTTGTTAGAGTAAAACATGTCGAAATCCTGCAAGAGATAAAAATGTTCCAACCTATCATCATGCAGAAAATGGTCCCAAGGCATTCAGCTCCCAGAAATGCATTATGATGCAATATGGAAGCATTGAACTTAACCAGCTACAACAAAAGGTACAAACTGGAAACACACTAAAAAGAATGAACTATTAGGAAGGCCCCTAGATAAATAACAAGTACTCCCTCTGTTCCAGAATAGATGACTCAACTTTGTACAAAGTTAGTACAAAGTTGAGTCATCTATTTTGGAACGGAGGGAGTAGTACTGAGAAGACAAGCAGATAAATAGAATAAAACGGATCAATTGAAAAATACTTCAAAAGCAGAGCAAAATGGTATGAAAACTAGCATATATTTTCACACAACCAGAAAAGCATACGTCAAAAGCGAGCTCATTTTAGCATCAAACGAAGCGGTTAGTCACTTCATCCTGAAAGGGTATCGAAACAAGCAAATATTTAATGCAACCACATAACAGTCACTTCTGAACATAACTTTTTATACATCAACACAAAAAGAAGAAGTCAACATGTTCATGCAGATGCTGATCCAACTCAGACATTGCAGCTCGTGAGGATATGAAAACTAGGACTGAAATAATGATCTCCAGGATTTATACTACTAAGACAATAAGTATGCTTTTACATAGTAGCAAAGGGAACTCCCAAGATGCAATATCTTCACACAATTGTGTTCTTCCGTGGATACTTAGTCTAGAAATTGTTCTCAAGTGCGTTGTTTCTTGTGGTCGATATGACCCGCAGCTCCACAGGCTATCAGAAAGGAGGCAGCTGAGCGCCAGGGCCCGGGTGTCCGAACAAAGGACCGCAGCAATCTTGGAGCAGGCAGCAGCAGCACATGAGGTAGAAGCTGCAGAAGAAGCGTTCATCCAGAGCTTCAGATGAATCCGTGTACAACAAAAGAGATTCAGAGTTCAAAATTAAACTACTAGTAGTTGGTGCTGAAAATATTATACTTGATCCCCGAACCACTAATCATCTACCGAGCGAATAGACTGATTTCTTAGAGATAGACTGATTTTTTAGAAGGGAGAACAGTTGACAATCTAACTGATTGAACTGATGACCTCCATCAGTAAGCTGAGAATTCAACTTACCAGGATCCGAAGAATCCACCGAACTCAGGCCCCCAGAAACCAGGGCCAGGGCCACCAGGAAACCCAGGCCCGCCAGGTGGAACCGGACCCCACCCTCCTGGGCCCAACCCTGCAGGGCCTCCCCAACCCGGTCCTCCTCCAGGCCCATGCGGGTCCATCTCGCCAAGATAAACTTCTGAACCGGTAAGATAAAAAGAAGATAAACTGCTGCTGAATGGTAAACTACAGTTTCCCAACTCAATCAGAAGGAACCCAGACTTGATGCAGCAGTTGGGGGTGAAGAAGTATTTATAGAGTTAGGGTGAGAAGTGTAGTTGTGCATGTACCTGCCATTCAATAGCTCACCCACTCGTCTATCTTACTTTCATTTCAACTACTGTTCTCTGCATGCTTACTGTTGCAGTATCACACAAACGTTTTTGAGCTCTCAAGATTGAGTTCAGTTCAAAACCACCTTTGTTTCATAGTATGATCCAATCAATGCATTATAGTAAATGTGAAGTACAACACCTGCAAGGCAAAACTAATCGTGTGAATCTACTGGACCCATCTAGAAACAACAAAAACATGCCGTGTTCGGAGCATTTGTATGCGAAGCATCTGCAAGACTGCAACTTATATCTGAAAAGCACAACTTAAGTTTTTAACAACTATGCAACAAAATTGTGTTTATGTAGCAATACCCAAAAATCCAACAAGGAACAAATTACAGAAGGGTTACAAAGGGTGAAGCATAGACGCCCAGGAGCATTACAAAAATTGATGAAACAGTACACTCATACCCTTTCTAAGTCTGGCTGCAGCATAAATCAGTTCCATAGATCACCAGTAAGCAAATATACTTGCAAAAGTAGCAAAGCCCACAGGGAACACGAGGCACGGTGTATGTTCAAAGGTTCAATCGCAGAAGCAGAATTCTGTTCTCTGCATGCTTACTGTTGCTTTCAACTACTGTCCTCTGCAGAAGCAAACCCAAAAGCAACTGAATCGATCATGTTACAATCAACTACAGTTCTCTGAAAGCTTACTGTTGCCGCATTACACGAACATTTTGAGCTGTAGAGATTGAGTTCTAAACCATTTTGTTTCATAGCAAAAGTAGCATGTACACATCTGGATCTACCAGACCCATCTAGCTGAATTTTCTGCAGTAATTAACACCGAAATCCAAACAAAGAACAAATTGCAAAACGAAGGTGCAGAATCACCTGCATCCAGCGTACAGTTTTGTTCACAAACACAAGCTTCTAAAAGGTTGAGCGTATTTTTATTACCTGAAGATATATATTAAAGTTGTAAACAAGAGGTAAAGTAGGAATGCACATCTAATCAGACAAACAGGTACTGGCGAACAACATTGCTCTTAATCAGGCGCACTGGCGCAGGACAAGTCTGACAGGCAACTTTCACATTCAACTTAGACGTGTTCAAAGAGTAGGTTGCAGACAGAAAAAGCTTGACAAGTACACATATAATTAAGCTCGATATATTATTCTGGATTAGGCAATCAGATCGGCAAGAAAATAACCGAATAATTGAGATAGCTAGCATAGGTTTCCGTCCGTGCAGCAAGGTGACCTCATCGAAGGCGGGCAGACGTCTCTGTGCGTGCCCTGCAGCGACCCGCACATGCCCTCCACATCAGGACTGTTCCAGATGGCATAAAATTTTAGGGGACATTTACGGTTGGCTCAAGCAAAACGTTTGGTACGCAAAGCACAGCTGAAGTTATTAAGACCACTTGTGCTACAAACATTGCATGAAGCCTTCATCCAAAGTGGTTAACAGCTGAATTGAAATAATAAGAGATAATAATTGCAAACCGTGCAACAGAAAAATGTAATAAGATGTTCACTGATTTCCAGGTTGCGGTACCAGTCTTTTCTAGAATACTACTACTACAACCAATTCCAAATCTCGCTATAGTGGTTAGCTTAGTTTCCATAAGGCCTACCTAACCATCTCCATCGTTTCTCTGAATTATTAGCTCTTGGGCAAATGGCCAGAATATGACATTGGAACCTAACCTAAAATCTCATTCTTTATACCTCTTCAGCAGAGAGGAAAATCTGCATCTTCTCAATGTTAGCCACAACAAGGGGTACAAACAAGAAACATACTAATAATTGACTATTCTGAAGACCACTGGATCCAAAGGTAAAATAAATTCTTCGGTTCAAGAAATAGTGATACGAGGCACAAAGATAAATACCAAGCACTGAGAAGACCACTAAATGAACAGAATAAAGCAAGTACTCAGCCCAAGAAAATAGAGACATGAAAAATACTTCAAAAGGACAGCAAAATGGCTTGGTAATTTTAGCATCGACAAAAGCAGTTGAAACATCATCCTGAAAGGGTGTCGAAACAAGCATACATTTCATGAAACCACATAACAGTCACTTCGATCATAACATTTTATACATCAACAAAAAAAGAAGAAATCAGCAGGCTCATAGTCGATCAAACACAGACATTGCAGCTCATGGGGACCAGGCCATTAAGAAGCACCACGTCACTCAACAGCCGTCAAATGAAAGGTGAAGCGTCCACAGCATAACCTTCTAGTGCCATGAAGAAATAATGCAGAACAAGGGTTTGTTTGAGCCGAGGAGGAAGCAGCGGTTGGAGGTGGCACAGCGCCAGGCGTGGCGGACGGCGCGGCAGCGGAGGAGGGATTTGGGGTCGAGGCGGACGAGGATCTCCCATATCACGATCTCATCTGGGAGGTTGCCGAGGAGAGGCGTCCTCCGCTATGGTCGCCGGCTGTGGCTGACTGGCTGGTGCTGGTGGGTGGTTGCGGCGGAGGGGAGGTGGGAGTGGAGTGGAGTGTTAGTTGTCTTTTTTAGGGGAGAGTGGAGTGTTAGGTCTTTCGGCAGAATGGAAATGGATGCAAGTCTGACTTGAGCTGGGCTGGGGCGCTGGGTTCGGCTCACATTCGTCTGCAAGTTCCTTCTTCTAAGTGAAAAAAGAAACAATAGTAGTTCAATGATAACTACTCCAAAAAAGTCAGTTCAGGAACAACACAGAATGAATTTCACGGCCAGGGAAGGACTTCCTTCGTGAAATAACAACGCATAACAAAAATGAGTGTGCACAATTGTTTTGTCAGACCCTAAACGTGTTATGAATTATAACATTTGAGCAGTAGCTATAAGTGTTCTTTAAACAAGAAGGATTTTCCTCTTCAAGGAGACACAAAATCATTACACCCAAGGTTGGATACAAAGACGCTGAAAACAGCAACACTACCCAAACAAAATCCTAGCAATCATCAGATGAAAACAATAAGCACTACTACGAAGTTTTCGGGGCCCTCAACCTTGGGCGACCCACCGCGAAGAGGAGAAGCCATGTAAGACGAACAATGAGCTCCAAAGCAGCGCCTTCAGCAAGGGATCGACACCATCGCGTCGCCACCGCCCAATCCACTGATTAGGGTTTATCTCAGAGAACTCCGGCAACAAATGAGATGCCGCGACGACGCCTTCAAGAAGGGGACGACGACAGAACGCCACCGCCGTCGGCCTAGCAAGGCAGAATGGGTTTTCACCCCGGCCAACACTCACCGTCACCGGATTGGGTTACGGACAGCTGCAACGCTAGCATTGAACGACCCACCCTGCTCAACAAGCTGCTCACACTGCCATGGTGACCGGATAGCGCCCGAGCCGCGTGCTCCGCCCATGAGCACCCCGGCTACCACCAGCCGGGCTGCCGCCACGGCATCCGAGCCCCACCCTCAACCAGGACACACCAAAGCGACGCGGCCGACCGAAACGAAGCGGAAGGTCCCCTTCCACCCCAAAGCTGACACCTTGACATGGTCGATGGCCTTGGCGGTCAGATCTGGGCCAGGGGAACTCCCGTGGCCACCCGAAGCAGCTGCCGGATGCAACGGAGGGGCACCCTGGCCCCTTCCCGAAGTCCCCTGCCACCTCCAGTAGGCCTCGCGCGCACCCACACCACACCATGGAGCCACCCCGGCCTGACGAGCCCGTCGCTGAATCCATAGAAGAGGGAGGAAGCTCACCCGAGCCCGACGCAGACGAACCACCCTGGCCTGATGAACCGCACCGCTGTAGACCACCCCACGCAGAGGTCAAGACGGACCTCTGCCAACGCCTCGTGCCGCCCGCTACCATCCAGGAGCCGAATCCGGGTGGATCGGGTCGGATCCGCGCCAGCACGCCACCGCCCAGATATGGATCCCCCGCGGCAGCCACACTACATACGAGCCCACCACTCGCCGGCGCATCCCCACCAGGCAACCCACCGTCGAACACCGAGCACGCTGTCGGCCCCGCCATAGCCCGGCGCCCCCGCTCAATCGGCCGCCTCGTGCCAGCCGCGTAGCACGAGGGGGGGAGAAGAGGCCCCGCTGCCGTCGCCGGTCGGGCTTCACCCGATGGCATCCCTAGGCGGCGGCGAGGGGAGCAGCGGAGAGGGGGGTCGGGCCGCAGCGGATAGGGTTCCCCCGATCACTCGCGAGAGCGACGCGGGAGGGAAGGGAGGGGAGGATCGCTTCACCAGCTTCACATGTCCACGATTATAAGGTATGTGCCTCAAGAACAACGAGATTTGAAATGCTCGAAGGTCATAGATTTTGCGCCTCTTGATTCTTGCTTCGTATAAATAAATGAAGTGCCGCACAATCCATTTAAAATGACCAATCAAACAAGCACGATGCGCCATGTCATCCTACTTTACCTTCAGTGAGTTTATGGTTAGCAAAACATCGCAGACTATATGTATGCTCGGAGAATAGAGACACGTTTCTCAGTGATTCCACCACTAGTCACACTTCAATTGCAGAGACTCGCATGATCCTTATAATGACCAAGCGAACAAAGCACATGCCACCATGCTGACCCCCTTTAACTTCCCTGATTTCACGGCCAACAAATCATCACGGGCTATATATGTCAGAGCAGACACGTTTCTTAGTGATCCTGGCACTAATCTCACAAAGGTAGCCACATACTTCACTCAAAAAGAACATGTGTAGTGTTGTGATTGTGAGGTATTGGGGATCGGCACACTGGTGTGGCAAGACAAGGCATCGATTCCGACAACATTGTCTCCAGGTCCTACCCCATTGCGGATAACACTGGTCGGGGACGCTACCCTTGACCTTCTCTTGGTGTTGCCAGAAGTTCTTTGGCACCATGGGGCTGGT